CAAAAAATAAAACTTAAAACGTAACCATTATTTTCCGAGCAAAAAAATAAAACTTACAACGTAACGATTATTTTCCCAGCAAAAAATTAAACTCAAAACATAACGATTATTTTCCGAGTAAAAAATAAAACTCAAAATGTAATGATTAAACTTGATGTTTATAGGTAAAAATTAAGAAATAAAAATCAGTGCCGCTGAAGGTATTCCGAGTAATAAAACATATTTTGGTTTACTCCTTATGCACGTAGCATTTCTATTTCAGCGTGATTTTTTTGGGAAGCTTTTGGTATAGCATACCCTGGGTGCAGAATTAAGGTAGCTATGTGGGGTAGGGGGAGATCTCCTGATTCCAAATATGTAGTTTTTAGCTGCGGGAGCCTAATAGTGTTTAAGTTATTTGTTGTTAAAATTTGTAAATTTAACAAAGGTTTATACGACATTTCACACAATAAACACTATATTAACGTACACACTTCGGCAATATATTTGCAATAAGACCCCGCACAGTCAAATATATTAATACTTTTTACCAGGGCCGAATTTACTTAAAATGCCGCCCTGTGCCCTGTGATAAGTGTCGCTCTTTGATCTTTAACCTATATCCATCAGATATAAAAAAACTCAATGAACAGAATAGCTAAGCTTTTTAGGGCCGGTTGTTCAATGTCTGGTTAACACAAATCGGAGGTAGAAGCTCCGGTTAAATAGGTACAACTACTGCTTTAACGCTCACATGTTATATGCATGAAGTCGAAATCGGCCTATCGGCCTATACGAAAAAGCAATTTCATAACCAATAACTTACTTACTAAAGAATTGTTGTTGTTGTTAGCTTAAAATTGATGTAACCAATAGAGGTAAATGTTTTGTACAATAACACATAAACAAAAGTTTACAAAAGTTGATATAAACGTGCTGTTCGACTTGCGTAAAGCGCATGATTACTAACTCGTGGGCACGACAACGAGTGTAAAATAAAACCAGAACAACTAACGAAAAGACACGTCTGTTTGCGATTCTGCTCGAATTTGAACTGACTCTCTTTTTATTTTCGATTTCATATCTACTTCAGTTCGAACGTCGAAGAGTGCGGACGTGTTTTTAAGTTCACTCCGTTGTCATTTTATATTGTGCTAATTTAAAAAAGCCAAAAAAAATAGACAAACAAGCAAAATGGAAACAGAAAGCGATGAATCAAGCTGAAATCCGAGCCCAGAAGCAACGCAAGCAAAATGAGCGCCGGCTTTCAGTTCAACGCAACAACGCATATTTCTCGATTCGGTCGCAGAGTGACAGCGAAAGCGCAAAGCCCAATCCATCGAACACCCTCAAACCTCCTCAAGATTCAAGTCAGCGGACTTGCCCTCGAAACTTACCATCGACGACTTCGATGTCTTGGAGTGAAGAGTGCGCTCCACCTCGGCCGTATCACATTTCACGCCCAACGCTTACATCAAATTCGGTAACCGATAACATATCCCCAAATATAGATGCAACAACAACTAGCACAGTGACATCTTTTACTACCTCAATCGCGCCAATAACAACAAACACACCGGTACATGCCGGCTGCACAGCGATGTCGACAGCTGAACAAGTAAAAATTGACTTGAATTTAAGCACTTACACTGGCAACAAAGGTAAAGCGCAAGAAAAGTTGAAAAACGAAACAACTAAAAATGCGGCCATACATACTGGAATGAACCGCTATGTTACAATAAAAAGAAAATTTAGTCCGCAAAATTCAACGGGCAGTAAGAAAAAAATAAACCTCCTAAGCTCAACTCAGCAAGTCAGTACGAATAGATTTGCACTGCTAAGAGATAATGCCGATGATGTGAATAGCCAAGTTTCTGAAGGTGCTGCAAAAGCTACTAATGCCAAATCTCCTCCGATTTTTATAAGAGAAGAGAATTCAAGCGCTCTTGTTAAAAAATTCACTCAGCTAATAAGTAGTAATAAGTTTCATATTATCCCAACATCTAAGGCAAATATTCGCGAAACTAAAGTTCAAACTTATTCCGAACAGGATTTTCGAACAGTCTCCAAATACCTAAATGACACAAAAACAAAATTTTAAACACTAATTTAAAAGGTCAAAGGTCTACAAATTGTAATTAAAGGTATTGAACCAAGCGTTGAAGCTGTGGAAGCTTTGGAAGCACTTAAGGGACAAGGCTTCAATTCAAAAGCTGCTGTGAATATTTTTAATAGGAACAAAATCCCTCAACCTATGTTTAAGGTTGAGCTCGAGCCTGAAAACAAACCACTGGGCAAAAACGATGTGCATCCAATTTATAAATTAAAATATCGAAGCTATGATAGCGTCGATGCAACAAAACATGATGAATTTCATGACTTTTATGCAAAACACAATGCAAAACTCAATGCACAAACTGATAATGACCTCACAAACTAGAGCTATAAAAATTTCTTAAGGACGAGGAAATTGACATAATGCTCCTTGCTGAAACATACCTAACTAATAGATATAATTTTGACATTTCGCGATATATGTTTTATTGCACGAATCATCCAAATGGAAAAGCGCATGGCGGAACTGGTATCTTAGTCGGAAACTGGATTAAACACTATCATTTGACTGGAGTTTCCGAGAATTATCTGCAAGCAACATCAATAGCAATATCAATAGGCGTACAAAGAAAGCAAGGTGATATTACGCTGTCCGCGGTTTATTGTCCCCTACGTTTCACGATAACAGAAAAACGGTTTATCGATTTCTTCAGTTCGCTGGGAGAGCGCTTCCTTGCTGCAGGTGATTATAATGCGAAGCACCCTCACTGGGGCTCACGCTTGTCTAACCCTAAAGGCAAGCAATTATACAACCCGCTTATAATGTAGAAGAAACAAACTTGATTATGCTTCTCCTGGAAAGCCTACATATTGGCCGGCAGACCCGCAAAAGTTGCCAGATTTGATTGACTTTGCGGTGACAAGGAAAATTCCTCGCGGCTTATTAGTACAGAACCAGTTGCAGATCTCTCATCAGACCACTCATCTGTATTTCTCACCTTGTGGCATCAGCCGCAAGAAAAGGAGTCACCCTATATGCTCACGACAAGGGCTACAAATTGGTTAAAGTATACAAAATATATCAGTGCGTATATAGACGTCAACCCAAATTTAGATACGCCGACCGATATTGAAAACTCCATAGCCGCTCTTGAATCTACACTTAGAGCAGCCGCAAGCGTTTCCACACCCCAGAAAGGTTATGTGCAAGATAAAAAAATATAATTTAACCAATAGGAAAATTGAAATGCTTGTATTGGAAAATCGACGCCTACGACGGATATTGCAGACTCATAGGCCACCAGCATCAAAACAACTGCTCAAGGCGGCCACACATGCACTGAGCCCTCAAGAACGAGGAACAGTACCGGTACATCCAAAAGCTCTCTCCGACTAGCACAAAGCACTCGTTATGGAAAGCACACCAAAATCTAAATGCACCAATAGAGACTGAAATGCCAGTTCGGGGCCATAATGGCAAATGGGCTCGGAGTGACGCAGAAAAAGCAAACACCTTTGCTTCTCATCTAAAACATGTTTTTAGGCCAAACCCCGCAACTAATGATTTTCAACTACCACCCGTACCCAATATGTCAAAATGTGAGCCGCTGAAATTTGTACTTGAAGAAATTTCAAAAGTAATTAAGGATCAACTGCAACTAAGTAAGGCCCGAGGGCACGACTTAATAACCCCAAAAATAATTATTGAGCTACCAAATTGTGCTGTACTCTGCATCTGTATGCTATTTAACGCAATCACAAAACATTGTCATTTCCCTCACCAATGGAAAAAGTCGACTATTGTGATGATACCAACGCCTGTAAAGGACAAAACTCAGCCATCTTCCTATAGGCCCTTCAGTCTGCTACCGTGTATGTCGAAATTATTCAAAAAACTTCCTATGCTGCGCATCTCCCAACATCTGCAATCCCGCAACATAATACCACTTCACAGGGAAAAACATGGCTTCAGGGAAAAAAATGGAACAATCGAGCAAGTAAATCGCATAACAACCGAAATACGAACAGCGTTTGAAAAGAGGGAATATTGCGTTGCGATGTAACACCACCATCTCTGAAGCTCGCTCCAAGTGTCCTCTACAAGCAAATGCGAATCATATGGAAGCTGTTGCCAATTGGCTCGCAAACTGGCGAATAAAGTTTAACGAGCAAAAATGTAAGCAAGTTACATTTACACTGAATAAGAGTAACTGTTCGTCCTTGAATTTGAACAACATACAAATACCACAAAGCAATCATGTCACTTACTTAGGGGTCCATCTGGACAGGCGACTTACTTGGCGAAACCACATAGTGGCTAAAAGGACTCATCCCAAGCTGAAGGCTAATTCTCTCCACTGGCTTATTAAATCTCGCTAACTCCTGAGTCTGGAGTATAAAGTGCTTATTTACAATACAGTTTTACAACCGATATGGACCTATGGATGTGAGTTATGGGGAAACGCGAGCAGCAGCGAAATCCATCATCGTGCGCAATCCAAAATCCTTCGAACAATCACCGGGGCACCTTGGTATATCCGAAGTGATAACATTCACCGCGACTTGAGAATACCAGAAGTACGAACCGAAAGAGAACAACGGAAAACGAAATATGCATCGAAGCTTTACTGCACCCAAATCATTTAGCAAGATCCTTATTGCGTGTCGACAGGACCTCAAGACTACGTAGGAATGACTTACCAGCCCAGTCGTAATCTTTTCTTAGGGCCAGTTAAGAAAATACTCATCCCAACTAGGGGATATAAATTAAGTGAATAGATTAAGATTCGAAAACTTATTGTTAGGCTCTTAGGCAGGGCAGATTCAATAAAAAAAAGTAAGAAGATAAAAAAAAAATCTATTTACGTAGATTCGGAGTTCGAGTTCCAATACAGTTGCAAGTGTTTTCAGCCTCCATGGGCGTAGTAAAATTAAATTAAGCATTATAATTTCATAGAAATATTAGGGTAGCTTTGCGATAATGATTGTACTCCAATTCATATTAGAGCGTTTGACTTATAAAGCTAAGAATAGCACTGAGGTAACCCAACATCCCGCCCTCCTTGAAAGTATCACTTTCAAGCAGGCAACAGTGCGATTTTGTGAATATGGCGTCGGATCGTTCCTTTTGCTCTTTTTATGTCGACGACGTGAAGTAGCCCATTTTTTCCTGGAATGCAATTCGAATTCCTGCCCATAACCCATTTTTCTGGAGGAACGTGGTCTTCGTGTATTATAACGAATGATCCACTTGCGATATTTGTCTTACCCTTGGTCCACTTGGTGCGACACTGCAATTCATTTAAGTAGTCATGTGACCAGCGCTGCCAAAAGTGTTGCTTCACGGCTGTGATTCGATGCCAATGGTTTAGGTGATCGATCTGCTTGTACGATTCTGAGTGCTCTGCTAGTGCCTTTAGCGAACACCCAATCAGCAAGTGCACCGGAGTCAATGCTTCGCAGTCACTTGGATCTGTGGATAGTGGAGCAATGGGCCGAGAATTCAAAATAGCCTCGATTTCGATTAATGCCGTCGACAGCTCCTCAAACGTTAATCGAGCACCAGGAAGTGTTCGATCTAAGTAACCTTTGGCTGCCTTCCCCGCAGCCTCCCATAGGCTGCTGAAGTGGGGTGCCCTGGGGGGTATAAAACGAAAGTTAAGAAATTCTTGTGAACAAAAACTTGCTATTTCAGTTTGCGTTTTCGAATTGAATAAGAAGTCTTTAAGAGCAGCTAATTTGGACTTCACTCCCACAAAATTTGTAGCGTTGTCGCAAAAGACGTAGCTGGGTAAGCCCCTGCGACCGATGAAACCCTTAAGAGCAGCGACGAATGCTTCGGTCGAAAGATCCAAAACGGTTTCGATGTGTACGGTCATGCTTGATAAGCATATAAAGATGGCGACATAGGTCTTGTAAGGTACTCTTCCTCTGATTCGAAGGTATGTATTTATTGGGCCACAATGATCAACTGCAACTCATGAAAAAGGTGTGTTCGAAGTAAGTCGCTCTACAGTCACTTGGATCTGTGGATAGTGGGGCAATGGGTCGAGAATTTAAAATTGCCTCGATTTCGATGAATGCCGTCGACAGCTCCTCAAACGTTAATCGAGCACCAGGAAGTGTTCGATCTAAGTAACCTTTGGCTGCCTTGTCCGCAGCCTCCCATAGGCCGCCGAAGTGGGGTGCTCTGGGGGGTATAAAATGAAAGTTAAGAAATTCTTGTGAACAAAAACTCACTATTTCAGTATGCGTTTTCAAATTTAATAAGAAGTCTTTAAGAGCAGCTAATTTGGACTTGACTCCCACAAAATTTGTAGCGTTGTCGCAAAATATGTCGCTGGGTAAGCCCCTGCGACCGACGAAACCCTTTAGAGCAGGGACGAATGCTTCGGTCGAAAGATCCGAAACGATGTCGATGTGTACTTTATAAGCATATAAAGATGGCGACATAGGTCTTGTTGCTGTACAGGCAAATTACCCATCATTTTCTCAAGAAGCCGTGGACGGTAGCGTACACAGTGGAAGCTGCGAGCGAGATTTCTTGCATTAATTATCCAAAATCGGCGACGGATAAAAACAAGAAGCGTTTCCGGACCAGCGTGGTAGTTTTTGCGATGTAAATGACGAACATACTTTTCGACGAACTGACTCTTCGAAGGCAGAAGCACCGATGTGCAGTTCTTCCAGATCGCCACGAGAATTGTCATCTGGGTCCAGCGCTTCAATTTGTGTTTGATATGACAGAACCTGCTCAAAATATGATTCGGCTATTCCAATTCGACACTTTAGTTCCGCAGAAGATAACGTTCGACCATCTCCACGACCATTTGCATCGATTACACTTTAAATGCAGGTAATATTTCGCCTTGTATTTGCACGATATTGCTGTAACTTCGTCAAGTTCATTTTGACAGTCTTAAACGTAACAGCTGTTAACACTTGGGTGTGAGAGTGCAAATAGGTAAGCAAATTAAGTTCAAACGGTGGAAGTCTTTGCTTAAGCTTTAACTTAACGAAGAGAGATGGCTTCACTGATGCTTTCGAACATACGAAGTGGTTAAAGGTGACTCGAAGTGTAGGTGTAGACAATTACTTCACTGTTGGCAAAAAGTGCCCTTGACGACTACATCAAGGTGAAAGATGACATCGGCAGCAACAAGAGAGGCGACTATAGCAGCGACGTTAGCAGCCAGACAGAACGTATGTATTGCGTGAAAAAATGAATTCAGTAAATTGCGATCCGACGAATTTAATGCAACTTTAGTTTGATCTATTTATTTTACCGTGCCCCACGTTGGGCGCCAAAATTTTCGATAAGACGGTTTTCTTACCGACTTGCGTAAATTGCAAGATTACTAAATCATGGGCACGATAACGATGTAA